TTCTCTCTCATTTCCTCTCCACCAAATCTCCTTCAAAAATGTTAAAATTTCAACCAAAATGTCACGTCCTTAGTCTTAAACTAAGCGTATATGCGGCACTTAACAACTTGCTCATGCTCTTGCACAACTTGCTCATGATCTTACTATGCAAAGTCAGCTCAAAACTTACACTTAAAATCACTATGGGAATACTAGATAAGAAAAATAAGAGAAATTTGCTAAAGGAAATGTGAGAAATATGACACGGAAAAATTATATTATTAATGTACCTTAACTATAATACATGTACCCCTATTTATAAAAATACACAATACCCATATTACTCCTATTCCATGTAGGACTATGCTTATTTACATAACAACTAACTAACTAACACTCCCGCTCAAGTCGGTGCATACAAATCATATGTACCGAGCTTGTTACATATATAACCAATACGAGAACAAGTGAGGGACTTGGTGAAAATATCTGCAAGCTGATCATTCGACTTCACAAACTTTGTAGCATTATCTTCTGAGAGTATCTTTTCTCTGATGAAGTGACAGTCAATCTCAATGTGTTTAGTTCTCTCATGGAACACCGGATTTGATGCAATATGAAGGGCAACTTGATTATCGCACACAAGTTCCATATGGCTGATTTCATCAAATTTCAACTCCTTGAGCAATTGTTTGATCCAAACTAGCTCACATGTTGCCATAGCCATTGCTCGATATTCTGCTTCTGCAATAGGCCGAGCAACTACATTCTGTTTCTTGCTCTTCTAAGACACCAGATTGCCTTCAACTAAAACACAATATCCAGACGTAGAACGTCTATTAGAAGGTGATCCTGCCCAATCATCATCTGAGTATCCAACGATCTGCTCATGACCTCGATCCTCAAACAATAACCCTTTACTGGAGCTGATTTTATATACCGAAGAATGCGGACAACTGCATCCCAATGACTATCACAGAGAAAATTCATAAACTAACTTATAACACTCACAGGAAAGTAAATGTTAGGTCTGGTCACTGTGAGATAATTTAATTTACCAACCAACCGCCTATATCTTGTAGGATATCTAAGCGGCTCCCCCTGTCCTGGCAGAAGTTTAGAATTCGAATCCATCGAAGTGTCAACAGGTCTACAACCTATCATTCATGTCTCCTCAAGAATGTCTAAGGCATACTTCCGTTGTGAGATCACAATACCTGATCTAGACTGAGCGACCTCAATACCCAGAAAATACGTTAATTTGCCCAGATCCTTAGTCTGAAAGTGTTGAAAGAGATGTTGCTTCAATTTAGTAATACCATCTTGATCATTGTCGGTAATAACAATATCATCAACATAGACCACCAGATAAATACAGTGACTTGAAGCAGAATGCTGATAAAACATGGAGTGATCAGCTTCACTCCGAGTCATGCCAAACTCCTGGATAACTATGCTGAGCTTACCAAACCAGGCTCGAGGAGACTGCTTTAGACCATAAAGTAACCGGAGCAAGTGACATACAAGGCCACGAGACTCCCCCTGAGCAACAAAACCAGGTGGTTGCTCCATATAAACTTCATCCTCAAGGTCACTGTGAAGAAAAACATTCTTAATATCCAACTGATAGAGAGGCCAATGGCAAACAACAGTCATGGATAGAAAAAGGCGGACTGATGCTATTTTAGCCACGTGAGAGAAAGTATCACTGTAATCGAGCCCAAATATCTGAGTATATCCTTTGGCAACAAGACGGGCCTTAAGTCGATCAACCTAGCTATCCGGACCAACTTTGACTGCATAAACCCAACGACAACCAACAGTAGATTTACCTGAAGGAAGAGGAACAAGCTCCCAAGTACCACTCGTAATGCAGACATCTCTCCAATCATAGCTTGTCGTCAGCCTGGATGAGACAATGTTTCACCTGTAGACTTAGGGATGGAAACAGAGGACAAAGAAGATATAAAAGCATAATGGGGTGATGACAACCAATGATAACTTAAACCGACATAATGGGGATTAGGATTAAGTGTGGTTTGTATACCTTTCCAAAGTGCAATCGGTGTACTAGGAAGAGACAAGTCCGCAGTAGGAACAGGATCAGGTGCAGGACATGAATCAACTGGGCCTGATGCTGGGCGCGGATGACGATAAAGTCAAGAGTGGTGTGTTTGTGGCTGGGGATCTAGGAGGAGCAATACTAGACTCTTCAACGGTTGGTATAGGTAAGACTTATGTGGCTGAAGGTGGAGGAGGAGCTATAGTAGACTCCTCAAAGGTCGGTATATATAAGATCTCAAATATCTCAAGGTGGTCAGAAGAGGTAAAAAAAGGTTTAGACTCAAAAAATATGATGCCAGCTGACATAAGGTACCTACGAAGATCAGGTGAGTAACAACGATATCCCTTCTGAACACGAGAATAACTAAGGAAGACACACTTGAGAGCACGAGGATCTAACTTATCTTTCCCAAGGACTAAGTTATGAACGAAACACGTGCTCCCAAAAACACGAGGGGGAAGAGAGTATAAGGATGACTGGGGAAACAATACTGAATACAGAACCTGATTCTGGATGGGAGATGAAGGCATCCGATTAATCAAATAACAAGTTATGAGAACTGCATCGCCCCAAAAATGCAACGGGACATGAGATTCAATGAGAATTGTGCGAGCAGTCTCAATGAGGTGCCTATTATTTCTCTCTGCAACCCCATTTTGCCGAGAGGTATAAGGACATAATGTCTGATGAATAATTCCTTGAGAAGTCATAAACTGCTGAAACTGAGAGGATAATTATTCTAAGGCATTATCACTGTGAAAAGTGCGAATAGAAACACCAAATTGATTTTTTATTTCAGCACAAAAATTCTGGAACATAGAAAATAACTTAGAACGATCTTTCATTAAGAAAAGCCAAGCACATTGAATAATCATCAATGAAACTAACAAAATAATAAAATCCCAAGGTTGAACTGACTCTACTAGGATCCCATATATCAGAATGAACTAAAGAGAAAACAGACCATGCGTGACTCTCAACACTACACGAAAAGTAGGCTCGGGTATGTTTCCCAAGCTGACACGACTCACAATATAATGTAGACAAACTAGGCACCATCTTCTGAAGCTTGGATAAGTTCGGATGTCCTAAACGTGTGTGAATTAGGTCTGGAGGATTTGTAACTAGACATACTGTGGAGGGACTGAGTGAGTTAAGGTAGTAAAGGCCTTCTGATTCACGCCATATGCCAATCGTCTGTCCTAAAATGCGGTCCTACATAATAAAAGAATCATCAATAAAATATATACCACAATGGAGGGCACGAGTCAAACGAATCTAGAGTGACAGAAGATAGGAGATTGGCTTGTCCAACTTTTTTTGCTTTAGTTTGAAACCCATTGGCTAAAGTAACAATGGGAAGAGACTGTGAATACACAATATTCGACAAAAATGATTTATTACCAGAGATATGATCAGAAACGCCTGAGTCTATGACCCATGGTCCAAGAGTACTAGACTGGGAGACACAAGCAAAACAATTACCAACAACAGAAGTATCAGTCTGAGAAACTAAGGAGATGTCTGTTTACTTGCTCGATATTGAAGAAACTCATTATATTCTCCTCAGATAAAGAAAATCTCTTGTTACCTGTAGTCTCGGTTTGATCAACATAAGCATTTTTGGGTGGTCGACCATGTAAAAAATAGCACACTTCACGAGTGTGTCCAAGTTTATGATAATAAGAATACTTGGGTCTAGATCTTCCAAAACGACCTCGTCCTCGTCTATTCTCCATAGTTTGATATGCTCGATTTTTCACTGTTTAGGAAGCAAAAACAGAGGAGTCAAGTGTCTGTGATGAGATCACTAGGTGACTTGGTGATACAACAAGGCGAAGTAATCGAAAGAATAATTCATCAATTATAGGGACAGTCGAACTAGCCAAAATATGTACTGAATCAAGTTCATTAGCAAGTCCAGCGAGTATAAGAACTAGAAACATTTTCTGTCGTTGCTCTTGGTGCTTTTCAATACTAGCAGAAACTGGCATCAACTTTTCAAATTCTTCCATGACTGCCTGTACTTGTCCCAAGTAAGTAGACATATACAATTCTTGTTTCTTCAAGCTTGTCATTCGCGATATTACATCATAGAAACGAGATATGTCATTAGTGTATAAAGTACGAGCCATTTCCCATACTAAATAACATGTCTAGAATGGACGGAACAAGGGCATCAACTTGGAATTAATAGATCGCCATATGAT